TCACTTGATTCCAAAATCGCGTCACTATCATCGGTTCCTTCATAAGTTACTCTTAGTTTTTCCCACATCTCTTGAGCACTTTTACAAACAGAGATCCTGTAAAACTCGTTAAGGATTAAAGCAGATGAAATTATATTTCTAGCCCTAACATCAAATTGTGCTTTTCTGTTTTCCTCTGTAGTCCATGTAGAAAAAGGTTTGGGAACGTCAACACCGTTCTCAGTAACTTTAGGAACATATGGACCGTTTAAAATAGCGTCCCAAACGCCTCTATCAACAGACTCTAAAAAGATTTACATTCTTACTTTCCAGAAAGGATAATTTTGACCCGCAAAAAGTGGGGGTCTGTTGATAGACACACCTTCGGCAAAAGTTTGATTTTGTCCGGCCATTTTCGAAAAGTTTGAATGACTATCAAAGCATGCTCTGATACCACTTGTTAGAATCGCGCAGCGGAATGTTTGCGTGGTCGGACAAAAATCGAGAGGGGGGGTGAATTGGTTTCTTAACAAAAATTAGGTTTTCAAAAATTTTCCCAAATTTTACCGATTAAAAACTGTGTAAATGTAAATAGAGTAGAGATAGAATCTTACACAGGAGATTTATACTGGTTCGGATCAAAAGACCATACGTCCAGTTGCTAATCACTCAAACAGAGGATGAACGCTGTCACTATGATCAAAGTTGTTACAAACAAATTACAATGGAAAAGATAAAGTAAAGAAAACACCTCTCTTGAAATCCACAAGAGATGAAGAACAATTTTCCCCAGAGACGGCACAACACACAATCCACTAAGAACTCCACTTAGTGATTCTTATCGCTTCTAGCCCACACCAGGTTCCAAAAGCCCCTTTTTCTTGCAACAAACAATTCTCTGGCACTCACAGCACTTAACTTTTGTATGAAAAAGGTTGTTCTTTCTTTCTGAGTGCCATAGAGAAGCTTAAGTAGAGAAATTAGGGTTTGGGAATTGGGATTTTCGAAACTAGGGTTCTTGGAAATAGGGTTTTCGAAAATAGGGTTGATTTGAAGTTAAAAAACAAAATCTGACTGAAATAATCGATTAAATAAAGTGTTAATCGATTATTACAGAGCCAAAATCAACAGAACCCCAAAACTCTCTGTTTTAATTGATTAAAAGACCTGTTAATCGATTAACAGGCCTGTTAATCGATTAACAGGGGTGTTAATCAATTAAACCAGTGAACAGATACAGAAAATGATTTTTCTCACTGTTTTAATCGATTATTTCACCAATTAATCGATTAAAGCCGAGCCACTTTGATAAATTTGAGCTTTTTGAAGCTTCTAAGGTGCAGACTATGTACCGGCTATCTCAAACTCTAATATTACAGACTCAATCTAATCAAAACAGAGTTATTACACTATAAAACAAGTCTTCAACTCTCTAAGTCTTGAGTTCTTGAATCATCATCAAAATCAACAAGCTTCATATCCATCAAGTTCAACATCAAGTCCTTGAATGTTTCAACAATACTTTGCCGTTAAAGAAGAAGTTTAGAAACAGAGAGTGTCAATAGAACATATTAGCACTGATCTTATGATTGTTGATCCTTTAACAAAGGAATTACCGCCCAAGTTGTTTGCTGGTCATATAGTAAATATGGACATTATGTTTACTAGTAGTGAATGTTGAATGTTAATGTTATTATTAATGTTTATGTGACACTCTGAGATCTTTAATGTATAAGTTTCTGAAATTTATGTTTTCTTCTTTATTTATATGCATGCAAATTATATGATGAAGAAAACAAACTATGTTATTATTATTAAAATGATATTATGTTTGAGCCCATTATGGACTTCTCATTATAAAGTCATATTAAAGAGAAAGAGATAATATAGTGGTACATGGAAGGGAGCCTGTCGATTGAATGACATGTAACCGCCATGACTCTTGTTATAGTTGTATCTTTAATTATGAATAATGATAGAACCAATTTATGTAAGGTCCTTTAATGCGCATTATGACTTAAGTATTAAATCACAGAATCGTATGACATCACATGAGTCAAGTGGGAGAATGTTAGAATTAATTTAATTAATTCATTCCATTATGTGACTCATGAAATATAATGATGGGCCTAAATGTGATTTAATAAAATATGAGGACCTATTGGTTATTATGTGAAGTTAGAATAAAATAAAGATAAAATAAAATATTAACTTACGGTAACCAACTTGATGGATGTTGGTTAATAAAAGGGATTAGGGTTCTGTCTTTGGTCATAAGTTTTTTTCACGGTAAATCATCAAGAAAGTGTGAGAAAAGAAAGAAAGACAAAGAGATAGATTGAGAAAAGGAGATTGGGGAATGAAAAGATTCAAGAATAGATTCTCATGGATCAAGGTTAGTCTTCTTACTATGATTCATGTATTGTTGTATGTTATATATTGTGAAAATCAATAATCTAAAGATCCTGTAGAGTAGTTTTTCATAATGAATTAAGAACGTAAGAAAACTACATAATATTTTTTACAAGAAGAACTAGAGGCTATTAAAAAGAATAGAACCTGAGAGTTAGTTGATTAACCACAACATAAACACTCAACTGATGTGAAATTGATGTTTAAAATCAAATTTAAACCAGATGGGACAATAGCCAAACATAAGGCCTTATTGGTTGTCAAAGGCTTCCTACAAAAACATGGCGTAGACTTTACAGATGTGTTTGCTCTTATTGCAAGGATGGAGACTGTGCGACCAGTAGTTGTTGTGGCCAATTGAAGAAATTGGAAAATATGTCAGCTGGATGTTAAATCAACATTCTTAAATGGTCCCTTGAAAGAAGTGTATGTAATGCAACCACCAGGTTTGAAATCAAAGGTGTAGAACATAAAGTATATAGATTGAAAAAGGTTTTGTAAAACCTTAGGCAAGCACCTCAGGCCTGAAACAAGCTTATTCATACTTTTCTGGTTAAATAAGGATTTGTAAAGTGTATAGTTGAGTTTGATGTTTATGTAAGAGAAACCACAAATCAGAGTTTGTTAATTGTGTGTCTCTACCTAGATGATATGCTTGTGACTGGAAGTGCACATGACGAAATTAATCAATTCAAGAAGAAGATGAACTCAACATTTGAGATGATTGATATAGGAATTCTCAATTATTTCTTAGGTCTGGAATTTGTACACACTTCCAAAGGAATCTTACTCCATCAGAAAAGATACATTTGTGAAGTTATGAAAAAGTTTAATACGGAAAATTGCAATGCAACCCCATACTAGTCATTGTAAATATGAAGCTGATTGAAGAGTTGAATGAAAGAACAGTGAATGCAACATTATATAAGTATATTGTAGGATCTCTCAAATATGTTTGTAACAATATACCTGATATTAGCCATGGAGTTGGCTTGATTAGTAGGTTTATGAATGATCCTAAAGCACCACATATGACAATAGTTAAGCATATACTCAGATATTTGAAAGACACAACAAAACTTGGTCAACTTGGTCTATTTCACCCCGAGACAGACAAATCAAACTGAAACTGTTCTAAAAGTTTGGTCTAACTCAGATTGATGTGGAGATAAGGTTGAAAGAAGTACACTCGACTACCTATTCAAGTATGTGAATGTACCAGTTTCTTGGTATTCAAAGAAATAAAGGGTTGTAGCATTTTTTTCTTGTGAAGCTGAATATATTACATCTACAGAAACAACATGCCAGTGTATATGGTTGGAAACATTGCAAGAAGAGCTAAAATTGGAATACAAAAAACCAATCCAGTTGTTTATGGATAATAAGTTTATCATTAGTCTATCTAAGAATCCGGTTTGTTATGAAAGGAATAAACTTATAGAAACAAAATATCACTTTTTAAGAGATAAAGTTAGAAAAGGTAAGTTGGAGCTTGTAGTTCATGCCTTCACCAAATATCTCAGACAAGGCAAATTGAGAATTAGAAAGACTCGTTAGAATTAAAGTTATTAGATATTTTAGATTAAAGGAGTGTGGTGTATAAATCCAAAATAAATAGATGGGAGTATGGTGTGTAAATCCAAAATAAATATTGTGTCAATAACCGTATTAATGGTAACATTACAATTATACATAATTATTATGTTTCATATATAATTGTAAATTCACTGACAAGAAATCTCATAATTTCTCTATCTCCCATGATATATTGTGTTTACCTACATTTTGCCTATCTCAACCAAACGAGTTGGAATACTTTAATAGTATAACTCTACCACTAGTCATATCCAACGCAAAATCCAATTTTATGCAACAAATTTGTGAATCAACGATAACCACGTAAGATACAGGGTTCACATTCCCATGATATCACTTTGAGAACGAAAATTATTCACCCTAGGATTCCCGTTTCTCACCTCAAAGTTGGAAATCCTTTTTGGAAGAGACACTAGTGATTTTATAAGCTTGCCTGTTTTGTTTCTTAAACTCCAACCACAACGGCAACATAATGACAGAAAAACATTTAGTGTCAAATTTACTTTTGTTCACCTTATCTTCTCGATTTGGTAATGATTTACCCAATTGCATTTTTTAGACTTAATTAAATTTTTTAATAAAATTTTTAAAAAATATATTGTGCATAATCTTACATGACATCTAAAAGTGTCAACCTCACAATTTATAATTCTACGCGTTTTAAACAATAATATATGAAGAGTAAAAAACATAAAATTATACAAACTTTAAAAAAACTATATATAACATGACAAGTGATCTTGACATAGATGTTTATAACAAAATTTACATAAAAAAGCAATGCAAAAGCAACTAATAATTGCTTTGCGGAACCACGTCCAGCCAGCGGTAACAAATGTGTTACCAAACACACTGATAGTTGTAACAATTTATACACAGCTCATTCAACTGAAGGAAATTTCAACATCAAACAAAACAAGGAAAGTCTAGATTGGACGTGTTAAGCAGGAGAAGACTAAATGAAACAAATGTATACAAAAATCTACAGTTCTCTAGTTGAAACAGTATTGAATTCAGTGACTGGTAGAGAGTGATGATGTGTTTTCCACCTTCAGAGCAAGCCATAGAAAAATGCAGAAGGAGACACAAAGAAAAGCAAGCATAATTATAAGCACAGATTTGAACGAGATGAGCGGGGCGAAAAAGAACACGGTAGCAATTGTAGCACATTGCCATATCTTTAGCTGAGCAAAAGCCCCTTCCTGCACGGGAGAGCAACATTAGAGGCAACCTAAACTAAGTTCATGCTAGAATAAACCTTAAATCATAAATAATATGAAGATAAAATGAAAGGATCTTTCCTCATTTATTAAAATCAACTTATGCATTTCACCTTCTTGTGGATAAGTTAAAGTAGTAAGTTTCTACAAAAGTTGAGTATTTAAGTTGATTTTAGCTTATAAAATAAACTCAATTCTTTTTACAATTTTATTTCATTTTTGCACAATAAAATATGGAAAAACATATCTAATAACATAATTATTAAGCAAAAGATGGAAAATAAAGCATCAAAGTTACTGGAAGAATACGTGACAGATAAAAAGAATCAAGCAGAAATCAAGAGCAAGGAGAAGAATAACCAGGGGATGTACAAGTTGTGAATCGAATATATGCAATCAGCAGCTTAGAGACATGAACAAGCAAAAATAACTGAAACAAAACAGCAATGGAAAAAGAAAGTAAACATGTTAATAGGGCATCATTTGTATACCGTGTCGTGCTTAAATAGTATTCCAATCAATGCATTAAGTTGCGTCATTAAAACTCCATCACCAACGCCCAATAAACCAGCCAAAAAGAGTATGTAAAGAGTACCAAGGAATCCGCTACTTATACTGCATCATGAGTGGTAAAGAGAGATTTATGCACGATGAAATAACATTAGAGAAAATAAATTAAATAGGATCAACTTCATTCAAACAAAATTAATTACTGCTGACCTAAAATCTAGCAGAAGTAAGATTAATACGACTGCCTGAGCAAAAACTCCAACGGAAACTATTGTTGTAACAGACGTGAGACCGGAGGTGAGACGACCAGCAAGCAGAGAACACTGACATTCATAGATATTAAGAAAATAAAATAGATGCCATTAGAACATATTTTGATCTAGGGCGCTAAATGTTTAGAACCACCAAGGAAAAATGTAGAACATGGCAGTTTCCTTGTCTAGATGGTATCAGTTGCTATAAGACATTTCAGAAAATAAATATAAATAAGTAAATAAATAGATTAGGAAATAAGAAACAGAAGCTCGTTAACATAATACAATCAAAGTTAATTTTAAACAACCAGCAATGGCAAGGAATTATAGTTCTGCATTCCTGTACTTACTATTCCATCAAAAGCCCCATATGCTGCCATTGAACTACCCACACCTGAAATACCAATTGCGGGAGTTACAACGTACTTGGTAAATTCAGCCCTACAAAAAAGCTTTTCGTTAACAAACAAGATATAACAAGAATAAAAGGGCACCATAAATCATAGAATCCTTATCGAAAATAAAAAACAATGAATGCCTCAATTCATAAGAAATTACCACACAAATGCTTGTTGTAGACCTGAATATGCAATAAGGGGTATGATCAATAACATCTTTATATCAGACAATGCACTGGCAAGTGATTTAGATAGAGACTTCAAGGACGCACATGCACCAGCATCTGCACCTGAAAGCTCTTGTTCCCCCTTAGTATTAACACTCCGTTTGCGCAAGAAGCACATTAATATTGCACCAAAAGTCATAATGAAAAGGAATACAATAAACAATAAAGTTGTTCCTTTGGTACTTCCCTCCTGCATTGATGAGAAACAATCAAATCCTGAAAATATGATTAACATTTTAATCAAAAGCTTTTAAAGTTATTGTTGAAGGGGTACAATTAAAAACCAAACTCTTATTTACATTTCCTCAAAATCTTCTGCATATCATACAAATTAACATCTTTTCATAATATTAATAAAAAAATAAAATAAGAAACTAAAAAGAAAACAAAAAAATGCTAGTTTACAGTGCTTAGTTTTAGAATCAAAACAGGCCTAATATTAGATTAAATTTTCTTTTATTGATTGAAATTCCTGTAAGTTTCAATAGTTTGGGAATGAGACATCAAATAGAAAATGGCGTGAATTTATCAAGAAGTGTATTATAAAGTGTGCTTGTAGCATTTCACATGGATAAATAGTGGTCTATCACAAGTTAAGGACTTTTTTTATAGGAAATCTGATACAGTTTCGATTCAACAATTTGGACCACGGTTTCCATCATCGTAAAGTTAGTTGAAGTTATTTTCGTTTTTTTGAAGATATTTCACTAGTGGCAATGCTTCATTCTTAGTATCTAACAAGGTAAGGGTAAGCTTGACTAATATTATGAACTATAATAGTTAAAACTAACAGAATAAAAGAACATTCGAAAAATGTGAAAGACAAAATAGCACGTACCTGCTGATCATCACTCAGTAAAGCAAATGTAATAAGATTTCCAATAAACTGCAAAACAGGTATTTCCTAGATCAATTTCAATTCTAAATATGCATGGTTGACTCAATTCATTTAATTCATAACCTAAATATATTTAGGTTGTGCTAACCTATAATCTTTGTAATAAATAATAATTTTTTAAAATAAAAAAATATTTTATTAAAATATATATATATATATATATATATATATATATAAATTTATATATCATAACATTATATCTAAAGTTAAAATTACTTCATAAATATAACTTAAGTTTAATATCATTATATCTAAAATTAAAATTACTTCATAAATATAACTTAAGTTTAATATATATATAATATGTAAACTTAATTTTTTTTATATTTTTGGATAAATTGCTTTTATATGAATAAGTTGTGATTATTTTATTTTTTAATTTTCAAATCTTTAATTTGGTCAAAAATAATCCTTAACTCATAAATTTAACATAAGATTAATCTAAATAAAAAATTATAGTTGATTTTAACATATAAATCATTTAATTCTTTTACATGTAAGGCAAGACTAGAACATCCATTTACACAACCCTAAATAATATGATCACCTGATGGAGTGCATACACGGCCCAGAATTCCCCATTGAAGTCACCAATTACTGCACCTTCATGTAATTTGTTATCTGAAGAATGGCTGCGTGCAGCAGAAGTGAGATATGTTCCCTGACAGGTCAAACTACGATAAGCAAAGATGCAGGTGACAAATGACAATGTGAAGGAGCTAGAAAACCTTGACTGGCTAATTGTACCTCTCCAACCCATATTATGGAAGCACAAAACCCAAGATACACAGAAGCAGGGACCAATGTATACCTGCACAAAGCCCATATTATGCATATGAATTAGTATTATGATTGACAGCATACATAGTCCTAAAGTTAAAAAGAAATGGTACTCAGATATAAGAGCAGATCTAAGAGCATGTGTGAGCAACAATCATAAATGATAATACAGAAAGGTAGATATTGGTTCACATAGTTGTCCCACTCATTTGGTTTTTGGTCCCTTGGGAACCTAATAAGTTTAAATATAAGGACCTATCCATCATGGAAAATAAATCAATTGTTTAAGAATGGAAAACAAAAATATAAAAACTAAAATTCAAATAATTGAAAAATATAAGGACTGCTAATAATTCATGAATGGCAGAATACAATGAAGTCCAGCATATGAGTTGGAAGTTGAGATCTCAATTTATTCTTATAAATGGTTAACTGGTGTTTCATTTACGAATTTTTTTTTGTATTATCCTTCGAAAATAGCCAACAACTCTATATTGATAAATGAAAATACATGAAATTGTTGATTTAGGGGCATAAGTTACCATAACACTCTTTACTTCAACTAATCGTACGTACTCCCAAAAACTCCATCCAGACTACTACAACCTAAGAATGCTGATTTTTTCAGCCCTGCTGCTTATTTAGAATGATACTGTTTACGAAGCACTCCTTCCTGATAGCTTGCTTTTCATTTTCTCATAATACGTATTAATTAAACAAGAAAATGCAGTTCTATTTCCCAAACTTCGACGGACCCTATTGTTGGAGGAAGCGCAAAAAGGAAGAAAATGAAAAACTTATACCAACATGAAGGTTACAACTATACAATAAAGATTAGCACAGTAATATGATATTAAATGGGTAAATTGTGGTTTAGATTCTTCTATTTTCAGTTAAATTAACTTGGTCCCTGTATTTTAAAGTAGATGAATCTAATCCCCAGATTTCCAAAATTCAGGGAAATATGTCCCTTACTCATCACTCTGATAGCTTGTTTGTTGACACGGCTAACCGGTCGATACATGGCAGCCGCCTGACTGACAAATATTAATCACATGGAATCCGGGACTAAATTTCACCAATTTGATCGATTTTAAAATTAAGTTTGACTATATCGTACAACTAAAAACACATTTTCTCCATATTAAATCCATCATATGTATATATTCAAAGACAAGACAGATAGATAGTAATTACCAATTTGGTTTCAAGTTGGCAGCCACATACAGGACATACCCAGTAGTCCCAAGAAGCAAAGCGTTCTTAGAGCCGAGAACTCGCACCACCAAAGAAGCAACCACGGAAAAGAATGTGAAAGACAAATACAAGATCCCTAGAGAAGTGGTACCCAAGTCATCCTCCTGAATTGAAAATTCAAACATCGCTGAAATACTAAAGCATCAACTCAGACCGTTACTCTACAACCTCAATTTCCTATCTCGTAAACCAAACAAAACCGCAAAAAAAAAATAAAAAAATAAAAAAATAAAAAATAAATTACTGACAGTGTTGAGAGTGCTCTGCAGATTCTGGGCGGCTCCGAAGGCGAGAAAAACCAAGAGAAAGGCCAAACTGAGGATGTGAATATCCCTGGTGTGACTCCTGCCCTTCACCGCTTCGAGCGGCGAATTATCGGCGACGAGCGGCGTCTCTTCGTCGCCAGGTATTGCAGAGGCCATTGATTGAAATTCTAGCTCCCGAGTGGTTGATGGATGGCTATAAATATTCCCAAATTTGCTTTCGTCAGACGTCATGATTCCATTAAGATCCAAACATGAAAGCTATTTGCCGGCCCCAACTTCCTAGCTATAAGACGCATCCATAAGTTAACACATACCTACATACAGTGTAAATATATATAAATAATATATAAATATATTTACAGATACTATCCTAAGATTCCTCTTTCCATCGATTGCCAAAATCAAAATCAAAATATAAAGTTCCCGGACGTTGACGTCAGTATTATTGGTTTCCCCGTCCCGTCTTCAAAGAAAAATTATTTTATAGGTGTAACAGTGTTGCCCGCTTTATAGTTTTACTTTTATGTTAAAATAAATAACTCAAAAGAAAGGTAAGAAATAAAATTTTATATAAATAAAAAAAAAATCGTGAGCTTGTATTTGGAGTGGGGTTGAAATATGTAGTGGTGGATTTGAGATCATCTAAAATGGAAAATGGATGGTTTGGATTAAAAAAAAAAGATAATATATTTGAGTGAATGAATAATAGTCGATGTGATTAATCAAACTGAATATAAAAAATTAAATAACAATGTTTACATGTAAAGATAAAAATACATTTATTATTATAATATAAATTAAGTAGAAATAATAATTATAATATAAATTAATAAAAGAATATTAATTAATTTATATTGTACATAATATTTAAATATATTAATATTATTTTATATATTAAGTATAATTAAAATTATTTATATAAATTATAAAATATTTTTCGTTGTAATTAATTTATATATTTAAAAATTTTCATATTTTGAATGAATATTTAACAAAATAAAATTATATTATTTTAATAATAATATATAAGTTGTGTACATTTTTCTAATTTTTTATTTCACATTAAATATAATAATTAAATAATATTGAAATAAAATACGATATTCAACATTAATTACATTCATAAAAAAAAAATAAAGGCAATTACATAATAAATAAGACGGATCACCATCATTCATATGCTTCAACAAGTATTCAATCATAAATCTGGTGGGAGGCCAAAATCATTTTTTTATGGATGAGATTTATGCAAAATAAACTCATAGCACTATAATTGAAAATGATCATTCAAAAGGTTAAGCTCACATAATATGTCATATATATGATGCAGAATAAGGCAACGTAACAAAGCTCCTTAGGATGATAATGTGCTCATTGTATAAGTCATTTTCCCAGTGCATATCAGTGGTCTGAGCCTCTATGGCAACAACCTGCCACTCCATCAAGTCTGTCAACTTGGCTGAATATCTATTATTCTCTCCCATCTTATCCACCATTTGGTGGATTCGTGTGTTCATCACTTCAAACAGTGAATTTAGATCAACATCAACCATATGGACTTTCCTCTTGGAACCCCTAGATGAAGAGATATCATCGAATGGGGTAGATGGGAAAATGGACAGATGTCAGGACTGTACAAATCAACTTGCGGAGGACTAGGTTGCATCTCCATAAATAAGGGAGTGTAGTTCTGGTGGAGAAAGGGATTTGTTGCATCTTCATTTAGGTAAATTGCATATTCATAGCTTCAGTCCATTTTGTAAACTCCCGCATGTTATGACTTGAATCAACCTGTCATTTTCTTCTATTCATTGTTAGCCTGGAAACAACTAAGTTATGGTACTTTATGTCATTGTTATTATGGTTGGAGGCAATAACAACTTCTACATTAAATAAGTGATGATCATACTACATTATAGATCATCAATTACACAGAAATATACATGGACATTAAGAAAATCAAGAAACATAATGTTGTTCATAATCATGACACATTTGGGTAGTTATCAAATTCCTTAAGTTAGTCCCTTCCATATAATCATCATGCATGGCGGATCTTGACCATTGATCTTGGGGGGCCAAATAATATATTATTAATAAATAATAAATAAATATAAAAGAAGAAAGAAGATGAAAGAGTGAAAGGTTAAAATTGTAAATATATACTTAAATATATAAAATAATCATTAAGTTTAAGGGGGACAAAATCATAAATTATATGAGAGTTACAAAAGAGGGGTTAAGAGTATAAAATTGTAAATATACAAGTAAATATATTAAATTTTCATTAAGTTTGGGGGGGTCAAAATCATAAATTACATGGGAGTTACAAAACTTTGGGGGGAGGGGGGGTCACGGCCCCCCTAAGCTCCCAAGAAGATCCGCCATTGTCCTCTTGAATTTGTGTTGCAAACCTATCATCCGCACATTCCTCTAATTCTCGGTTCACTTCATGTAGAAAAGATTCATCGTTATCTACTCCACGTAAAAAATTGTGCAAAGTATAGTATGCCAAAACTATATTCCTCGTTGTTTCAAAACTATAGTGGGGTTCAACCCCACTTGCTATAATGGAAAATCTTTTCTTTAACACATCAAATGTCCTCTTAATTGCATTCCTCAGTGAGGAATGACAGGGATTAAATAATTCTCGATGAGTTGTAGGACCTCTTTACGTATACTCCTTAAGGTGGTACCTTACCTCCTGATATAGAGTTATTATTTGAGTTTTTAACATGAATTCTGCATCTTCCAAATAATATTTACCTACACAAAAAAAACATTAGTTAGTAATTGTTATTAACTATTTATGCTAAGAAATAAATGTTTTCGTCAAATGCTGCATACCTTCTGGTAAATATTCGAGAGTCAGATGCAGTACATTCCCACCCTACTAGCATAATTGTGAATTTCATGTCGAAATCACATGCCACAATCACATTTTGGGTTGACCACTCTTTTCTACCACGAAAATGAGGGACTTTCAATCGTTGTACTTTGACGCGGACATGCGTTCCATCAATCACACCTAGACAATCATTAAAATAGGGATATAATTTGGGATTGCTATAGACGTGTGCTTGCACATCGTTCCTGATAGTTGAACAAAAAAAATTTCCTCTAATTCAATTATCGCATTCAACACGTGAAAATGTCAATCCAATGTCTTACCTGATCAATGAAAGAAAAATGACATGGTATGTTTTTTAACATTGTGTCCTAAAATATGTAAAAATTTGACAACTTGTTCTTCAACTTTTGACTTAAACGCATATTTGACGACGTTAATTGCTCTTAATCGATGACAAATTGATAAAAGCATCTGGTCCCATGCGAATAATATCACGACATTGCTCCAAATGAACCAAATATGACATTAACTCACATCTACCATAATCTTTTTCAGGACCATGGAGGTTAACGTTGTTGGTGTTATTGGTATACATGTGATCTAACATGTATAATGCAGAGGACAACATAACATAGTTAGTGTTGAAACATGGACATTTTCTTTTATCTGATCATGAGTCTGACATATTAAGTTCATATCTATCCCCAAGACATTAGTACTAAATTATTCTTCTTTTAAATTCATATATTCTTCTTTTCGATTTTCCATGGTCAAATATTAATCTCTATGTAACAAAAAAAAAACTTAAATTGTTAGGGTTTATTATGTGTGTTAGGATTTATAACCGTTGTTATAATTAGAATTATCGTCGTATGTCTCGTTATATTTTTCCTCTGCAACCCAACTTCTCATCTTTTCTTCTCCTTCAACTTTCCTTCTGAATGGATCATTCGTGATATTTAGCTAAAGTTTCCATCTTCTCTCTCCTTTGACTCTCCTCATTTAACTACTTTTTTTTCTTTCTTTTGTGAAACATCCTTTTCTATCACAAATTTCTTTAACATGCAGGATAAGTATGAGATGGAAGACGAATACGAGATGGAGGGCAGATACGAGGTGGAAGACGAGTCAAACGTGAAGGATAAGTTAGAAAATAATGGAACCTTCTGAATTTGTTGCGAAGGAGAAAGATCTACTGTAAAGATGTACTACATGTAAGAGAGTAATGAAAACTTTTGGATATGTTGTAACAGGGTAAGATCTACTATGATTGAGGTAGATCTGTGATCAAGGACATACGATGATGATTATATTTATAATTGTCGTCATATTGATAACTTATAATGACATGTTAAAATCATCACCAATTTTATAACTTTTAACAACGATTGTAAAATCATCGTTATATACATTTTTAATCGTCGTTAGATCATTTATTTGCATTAGTGAACCTTAAAAATTAGGTATAAAGATTTTTTGTAAACATTTGTACTCATGATATTGATTTTGAGAAATTGAAGCTTAAAATTGGTAAAAGAAATTTTCTTTAACTTTATGACAAAACTTTTGATTCTTATATTTGAATTTTCAATTCAAAATGATGATTTTTTCTTGACTTGTCAATCAAAATTGTATTATCTTTTGATTTATCAATCTTGATTATTACGTCTTCTTTCAATTCGATCAATGAAAATTAGTTAAAATGATCCATAAATATATAAATTCGAATTTAGATCCTTATCATATAGTATCTAATAAAGGTTTATCTATTAACATGTTATTCTATGTGTGAAATGTGTAACTTTAAGAACTTTGCGTAATTACAACTTGGATCATGAAATTTAATAACATATATTTCACTCAATCATTGTTTATCATATGATATTTCAACCAAAATTTGAGTTGAAGGTGTTTACCAATTATTGATCGTTGAAGATATCATATTAATAGTTTTTATATAAATCTTGTTGTAAGATGTTATTGCGACTTGTCCCTTGTATGAAATATTTCTTACACCTTTTGCTTATTTAGTATACCAATGTATAAATCCACAAATTCCTAGCATTTTTTCAAAACCAAATTAATGGCCTTAACCAAGTTTACAATAGTATAACAATGGTCTCCACACATCTCATGCTAGAATGTCACAATTTTTTTCTTAATTTAAACAAGTCAAGTAAATTCATTTGAATTGATTATTAGAATGATGTTTTGATAATACACAAAGTTTGATATAATCTCATAATGATATGAGAATAAATAACATTATAATATATAATTTAGTATAATTATCATCTTACTACGTCGATGTTGAGACATTAAAAAACTCTCACATGAGATAAGAAAGTACATACAAAGAAAATTCTTCTTTGATATGAGG